GGAGGAAGTCCTGGGAAAGGAGCCGCGAGAGGGGCCCCAGGCTGGAGGGCTGAGCGCGGGCCATGGCGTCCGCTCTCGGAACCCACACTCGGGCAGCTCGGTTGGAGTTGCGGGCCGGAGAGGGTTAGACTCGCAGCTAGTAACCGCTGTCCGGCCGAGGCCTGGCGGAGCACCCCGGGAGGATCTCGGCCCGAGTCGGGGTGCACGGAAGACTCCAGGACCAGGAAGTCGGGGCGCACACTTGGACTCGCGCTCGCGGATCCCCGTCAGGGGCCTCGGCCGGTGCCGGCGACCCGGGGGCTGTTTTTGTTTTCTCACCGGTGAGATCACACCGGCTGAGAGTCTGTATGCGGAGGAGGGAGTAGAGACGCGGGAGAAGTGGGCTCTAAGAAGTGGAGATTTGGGGACCCCAGTGACAACCTGGACAATAGCTACAGCCGAGGATACCTTGGGCCTTGTGAACCAAGTACCTTGAAGAAAATGGGCTTCAAAGACATATCTTTTGAGTTCATCAAGAAATGAATGAGGGCGCTTTAGAATTTATCTTTGGGGGAAACTTACATTACAGGGTGCTGGGGAATCTCCTGATACAGAAAGATCCGGAATTCGACACCCGATAAATTGGAGACAGAGCTTTGTTTCCAGAGCAATGAACTCGCGAAAAAGTGGGCCAAGAAAGTTTACATATTCAAAGTTAGCCTAGGTGGGAAGCAAAGAAACACTAGCACGTTGGGGGGTTCTGGGGTTTTTCTCCCCACTGGCAGAATTGAGGGGCATCTGGCCAAAGGCCCCCTAGTGGCTTCTGGGCCCCCAGAGCCTTTCTCCTACTGCCCCCTCTTCTATCAGGCTAGCTGGGTGTCTAAGGCCTTGTTTGTTTTTAACAGCAGGAAACTCCCAGTGGTGAGAAAGAAGTTATCTGCAAACCCTCAAGCAGGTAGTGGGGAGTTACAAAGCCCTGTGAGGTGTGGCCCAATCCACAAATTCAGCCCAGAAGCTGCAGGGGCCCTTGCTTGTCACAGAGAGTGGCTTGCCACAAACCCGCTAGCTGCTGCTGCTGTGGAGCACTGCACTTCCCCCACCTCTCCTCTGACTCCCTGCCTGCTAGGACCTGGAAGCCCAACTGGGGCTTAGTAACCTGGTCCCAGTTCTTGGCTGGTCCTCCTGCTAACCTGCTGCTGCTGTAGTCTCAGGTTTCACTCTCTGCTTCCCAGCCCTCCTCAAGTGAAAGGCAGGCAACTGACATTTATTGATTGCTTTCTTCATTCCACCAGCCCAAGTGCTACCCTCTGATTTAATCTTCACAATGGCCCTTGAGGTAGATGTCCTTATGCCTCACATTTACAGGTTACAGTACTTGTCAGGGTTCCATGTGGCAGAGCTGGGATTTGAACCCAGAACTTTGTGAAGCCTCAGTCTGTGACCTTGCCACTGTACCCAGATGTCTTTTAGAGTTGAAGAAGGCGAAGATGACATCATTGATAGAGCTCTTTGCAGAACAAAAGTTCTTTACATGGGTGTAATATTGTAACACTGCAAGAAATGTTTGCTCACCTGTAAAATGGGGCTAGAAATAGCGTTCCTCTCAACTTCCTAAGGTGGCTGTGGGACTACTGTGACAAGCTTTGCCAAGGCTAATGACAGGAGGAGTGGGGCGGTTGAGGGAGCTCAGTTCAGTTAGACACGCATCTATCGAGTGCTTCTGTGCTGCAGCCCTCTACTCAGTTCAGGGACCTACCTCCATAACGAAAGATGAAGGTCCCTAACCTCAAGGAGTTCACAGCACCAAGGGGTGGGGGCAGGGCAGATGTGCCTAAGTGAGCAAACATGGGCAGAAAGGGGCCTTTGCAGTCATCTTCCAGTAAAATGTTAATTTTAACTTGACCTTCAAATCAAGTTAAGTCCAACTGTTGAGAGGCAGCCAAATCAAGTAAAAGGAGTTCGGGCCCCATGAAAGACTGACCTGGCTTTGAATTCGGGCTCTTTCCCTCCTTCCCCTTGCTGAGCTCCTGTTCTCTCAGCTGTAAGAATGGAGCGAACGGTTCTTATACTGCAGAGCGGTACATCAAGAAAGAGCATCATAATTATCCTCCAGGGCAAGCCCCTCATTTTACACAGACAGAGAGCGATGTCTGGAGAAGGGAGGCCATTTGCACCATGGAGGTAATAGCCTAAGAGAGATCTGAGGATTAAATGTAGTGGAAGAGCCTGTACCTCATCCTCTAAAATTGTGTCATTGGAAGGGGCCCTCATCCAGCCCTCTCATTTTTCTGAGGAGAGGAAATAACTAGTCAGCCAACTAGTTAAGTGTGGCTAAACTATACTTTCCTGCACTTCCTTCCCCTGCCAGCATCCGTGTGACAGTGACAGCTGTGCATGCAGAAAAACAGTGCTGGACCCACGTGCAAGTCTAACGCATGTTGTTTCTGGGTTCCTTCTTTCTCCTCTGGCCTTGGTTTCTCCCTAAGAAGAGTTCAGGGAACAAGCCCAGTTTCACAAAGCCCAGAGGAGGGGAGAGGAACTGATTCTTCTCAGTGCTGAGAGGACCCTACATGCTCTCTTGACTTTGGGCAGTGAATGGCTGGGTGGCTCCAGATGGATACAACTCTGTTCTGGCGCCTGGTCTCTTGGGGCCCAGCCAGGCCTGCTTTTGCAGAGGTTGTCCTTGAAAGGGAAACGTTAGCCCGGTTAATTTTTCATCATGGTAAGTGCAAAGTTCAGCAGAGGTGAGATGGGGGCGAAGGCAGGACTCTGTTTCTCTGGAAATAGTCTTATCAGGGAGAAGCCTTGTAAACAGATGTGCCAAAGGGTCTTCATGTACGTGGAATGGTTCCCAGGTGGAATACTGGAAAGAAACAAATACCTAACTTCAATTCTGATTATTTTCCCATTAGCTAGAAGGTGTTTAATTGACAAGTGGTGAATCTAGAAAAGGCATTAAAATTGTTCTGTCTTCATTTTACACAAACAGAAAGTGATGTCTGGTGGAGGGAGATGATCTGCACTATGGAGGGAAGTAGCCAGGTCAGGACTAGAACTCTCATCAGAGGGGCCTTGCCTAAGAGAGAGCTTCTGTCTACAGTCAGCTCTCTATCGACAGCTCTTTGTGGCACCAGACAGAGCTGGGTTAAACTCCCAGCTTTGCCACTTCCAGCTATGTGATTTTGGGCAAGTTCCTTAACTCTCTGTGTGTCGGTTTTCTCATTCATAAAATGGGAATAATAATAACACCTACTTCTTAGGATTGCTGTGTGGAATCAAATTAA